ACTGTGTATTATATCCATTAAAAACCCTTTTTTTTAAAAACGCTGAACAACTAACCGGTCTTATTTATTCACAGCAACCTTAAAAGTCTTGAGCATAAGTCACAACATGGTGAATTCTAAGCCAACTAATGTGCATCAATATGTAATTAATGTTGAAGCTAAATATCATTACAAATTCAATGAAAATTTGGTTTGAGGTCGTGAGAAATAAATCAACTCAGAGATTCACTATAAATATTCAATCACTGAACTTATTCACATTAAATGTCAATTGTAGAAAACATGTAAGCAGTGATTTAGATATCAAAAACCAATAGTATCCATTCCCAAGATTACTAAGTTTCACTATCTGATTACAAATTAGGCAAACAAGAGTTTAGATGATGATTATGGAAATGATTAACCAATATTATTAAAAATTATTACAAGCATCACATCACAGTGTAGCGTTGAATTGATAGTTAAGTCATCTCACTTTCAATCATCAAGTTGGAATTGTTCGCTTTACCCAATTCGGTTTAGGCAACCTAACAGTATCACTAACATTCATATATATGTGGGTGTGGTTCAAAGTCAGGTAACTGAATCTGTACCTGGTGAATGAGTTAGTGGTTAATTGTAGTTTGTACAGAACAGCACTGGAATTTACAGTCTATTAGATCTGTGCATAGCCGTTTAGGAATACAATTTACAACCAGTTTAGAAGATGTTTGAATTTCACTTTACTAGTGATCACGTAGCAACCAGTTATCACTTACCTTTATATGATTCATATCACCGGGTTGTGGGACGATAATAATTATGCATTTAAATACTTAATTGACAAACCAATTAACTGTATATTCAAATGTCATAGATTTACCTTATATGCATGTCAAACCGCATTCATTTGGCAATAACATGAGCAGGATCATTTATCATGTAAAGAAGAGGAAATAATTCTGGTAGTTATGATAAAGAGGACTAAACATCGAGAATCTGGTTAAGAAAGACAGTCTGAAAGAGTATGTTTGAAGGAAGAATGAGAATAATAAATGTAGAGGAAGGTGAAGAATTATAACTGTGACCGATTCTGTAATTATATGCAGAATATATAGTAATATATTATCGTAGCCCTTCTAGGGATACTGCCGGTCCCAAGACCGGGTAAAGGAGGAGGGTTGGGCATGGGGTCGGCAATCCCATCCCGTAGAAAACAACTATGCTAAGAAACGCCAATCAGATTAAACAGATTAAATCATTTAAACTCTACCCTCGGAATTGAAGGAAGAATTATGAGGCCCCATGCTGAAAGCCGAGAATCTTCGGGAGTCACGAGGCCTATACCCCTTCTAACAATCAGAGCGACAATTTTTATAAGTACATGGAACGTTAGAACAATGTGGGAGACCTAATGAAACAGTCAAATAGCAACAGAAATGAGGAGATACAACTTGGCGGTGTTCGGAATCAATGAAACCCATTGGACTCAAGCTCAACAGCAAAACGTTAGGTAAGGCAGAAATGTTGCTGTACTCTGGTCACGAAGAGGAAAATGCTCTATATACTCAGAGAGTTACTCTGATGCTGTCCAGAGAAGCACTTAAAGCACATTTGAGATGGGAACCTTATGAACTTACGATCATCAAAGAATCCTTCAAAACAAAGGAGCGGATTACAGTGAATATTATCCAATGTTATGCACCCATCAATTGATAGCCATGACAACGATAAAGCTCAGTTCTATGAGAGACTGCAATCAATCATAGAGAAGTGCCCAGAAAACAACCTGACGACCTGATAGGAGATCTAAACACAAAATTCGGAATAGACAACAGCGGTTATGAAGATATCATGGAACGACATGGACTGACTGGGAGAAACGAACGAGAATGGTAACAGATTTGCAAATTCATGTGCATTCAACAAATTGGTTATAGGCTGCACAACATTCCCACACAAACGCGTACACAAAGCAATAGGGATCTCACCGGACATCACGGAGAACCAGATAGATCATATTTGCATCAGTAGAAAATTCACAAGGTCAATGGAAGACATGAGAACCAGAAGAGGAGCTGACATAGCTTCAGATCACCACCTGATGGTTGCCAAGAAGAAACCGAAGCTAAAGAAGCACTGGACAACTGAACAAGCAGTATTACAAAGGTTTAATACAGCGTTCCTTCGATATACTGACAAAGTCAACAAATTCAAGATAACTCTCAATAACAGGTTCCAAGCCTTACAGGATAAACTGAAAGAAGAATAAGCTACGATAGAGGACAACTGGAAAGAGATCAAATAAGCACTAACTTCAACATGACAGGAGGTGCTGATCAGAAAGAAGCATCATCATAAGGAATGGATCTCTATAGAAACACTGGACAAGATTCAAGAAAGGAAGAACAAGAAAACAGCAATTAACAACAGCCGAACACGAACAGAAAATGTCAATACACACTCAGAATACATAGAAGCAAACAAGTGAAGAGCATTAAAGCCGACAGGCAGAAACACGTGGAAGAGCTAGCAACGGCAGCACAAAAAGCTGCAAGATAATGAAATATGAAACAACTTTATGACAACGAAGAAACTGGGAGACATAGTAAACCAGGGAGACCGATCAAGGACAAAGAAGGCAAGTCAATCACTGAGATTTAAGAACAGAGGAACAGATGGGTAGAACACTTCGAGGAACTTTTGAATAGACCAGCTCCATTGAATCCATCGGACATCGAAGCAGCACACACAGACCTTCCTATAGATGTTAATCTACCAACGACCGAAGAAATCAGAATGGCCATCAGACAAATCAAGAGCGGGAAAGCAGCAGGACATGACAATATACCAGCTGAAGTCAGACATGAAAGTAACTGCAAACATGTTTCACCTTCTATTCAAGAAGATTTGGGGGGAGGAACAAGTGCCGAACGACTAGAAAGAAGGTTACCTCACCAAGATACAAAAAAAAGATCTGGGCAAATGTGAAAACTAGGGAGGAATCACACTACTATCAGTATCAAGAAAGGTATTTAACAGTGTTGTTGAACCGGATGGAGGATTCAGTAGACGCCCAACTTCGAAACCAACAGGCTAGATTCCGTAAGGATCGGTAGTGAACTGACCAAATTGCGACACTACAGATTATCGATGAACAATCAATTGAATACAACTCGTCAGTATACATCAACTTTCTTGACTATAAGAAAGCATTCGTATTGTGGATAGGAGAACATTATGGAAACTTATTCGAATCTATGGAGTACCTGAGAAAATCGTCAACATCGTACGGAATTCATACGATGGACTACACTACAAAGTGATGCATGGAGGACAGCTGACAGACATTGCAAGTAAAGACCGGAGTTAGACAAGACTGTTTACCCTCCCCCCTTCTATTTCTTCTAGTGGTTAACCGGAATATGAAGACCTCCGCATCTGAGGGGAAGCATGGAATAAAATAGACAGGTTGGATGTAACTAGACGATTTGGACTTCGTAGGTGACCTAGCTCTCCTATCCCATACACATCAGCAAATACAGAGGAAGAAGACAGACAGTGTAGCATCAGATTCTGTGACAGTGGGCCATAACATACACATGGGAAAAAGTAAGATCATGAGGTATAACACATAGAGCACCAACTCAGTCACATTTGACAAAGAAGCTCTTAGGGGGTGGAAAGTTCTACGTACCTGGACGGTATCATCGATAAACAAGGAGGATCTGATTCAGACATAAAGGCAAGGATTAGTAAAGTAAGGGCAGCATTCTTACACTTGAAGAACAAATGGAACTCAAAACGACTGTCAACTAATATCAAAGTCAGAATCTTTAATAAGAACGCCAAGACAGTCCTACTGCACGGAGTTGAAACTTGAAGAACCACTGCACTCATCATCAAAAAGATACAAGTAATTAAATACAATTTTCTACTCAAGATACTCAATGTCCGTAGGTCGGATACCACCAGCAAAAGAGAACAAGCCAACTTCCTGCTGAGGAAATTAGGAAAAGACGTTGGACGTAGACAAGACACACATTGAAGAAATCACGAAAATGTATCACGAGGTAAGCACTAACTTGGAATCTTGAGGGAAAACGGAAAAGATGAAGGCCAAAGAACAAACTAAGCCGAGAACTAGAAGCAGATGTTAGTAGAATGAATAGCAGCTGGAAAGGATTGCCCAGGACAGGATTGGATGGTGAATGCTGATGAGCGGCTTATACTCCTCCATAAAGGGTAACAGGAGTAAATAATTAGGTAAGTAATATAGTAATATGGATTCTGAGCCATGTCACTTAATGTCTTGAACTACTGAGTGCAGTTATCGCAAGTTGTTAGGGCTGAACTGATTACCATACGTAATAAAACAATGAATAGGGTCTCTCCTAAATGTCAAAATAAAGAAACAAATACACCAAACAACAATGCCTATTGTTATATAGAAACTTAAACTAGAAACCAAACAATGAGTTTGATGTATAAACAACACAACTTCGTCACATAATTAATTGGATATAACTCCTTAGTGCTACTCAAGAATTGGTTACAAAATAAAAACAACACGAGAGGAAAGTTGGAAAATCCATAAACTCAAGATGACTTTCCGTGAGTTGCGACTAACGGGATTCAATAAATCGGATTGAAGACAATTAAACACCAAATTAACCGAATTTACATGTTATCTCACACAACGGTGAAGTATTAACTCAGTGGTTGAATTGTTCTCTCTCAATTACGAAGTCGCAAATTTAAACCTTACATATTCATCTATTTTAGTTCAGGCAACTGATCAATACAAGTCACTAACCCTCACACTTACAGTTTAGCTTAAAGCCAAGTACACAAACCTGTGTATGAGGTAGATCAAATGATTACACACAGTCATGTTCTTGCATGAAAAATATCTAAAAATGAATTTCTCTGTGGTTTTCCTTAAAGTTTTAATGTTGAAATATAAGTTAAATTAAATATATGCAACAAGCAAGCTAATAAAGAAGCAAAAAATTCAATAATTATATGGTGTACTACTTATTTATTTTGACAGTAACATATATGAGGGATAGTATTTGTTAATAACAATTGTGATATTTACACTTCCATAGAAAACTAAAAAACGGATCAAAATAAATCAGTGTGATAATGATCTTGTCGTAATTGTTTTGTATATGATTTTTCTTTCTTTTTACGTAATCTCTCTTCGTTGGCTTTCACTTTTCTGTTTCCGATTTGCAGGTGAAAAAGAAAAGAGAAAATACATCGAAGAAAAATTTGTCAGAATTATGTTTATAAAACTGTTAAGATACAACAATGACATACAATATAGACCAATAAATAGTTTCAGACGCTAAGTTTGATATTAATTTGTTGGAGGTAGTATGTAGGAAATCCAACTCGCCCTTTGTTTCATGCTAGTTAACATTTATCAGAGAGGTGCACCTGTAATTTTGGTATAATTGGTGTTAGCCATGGAATTTAAACACACGTCACAGTCAGAAATGTTACACACTTAGTTACTCCAAACATGATCAACCGCCTGTAGGAGTGGAATACTTACATTGATTTGTGCTGCTTGATGCAGCTAAAACACCACTAAGAGAACTAGTTCCCTGAAAACTGCAGGTACACTTTTTTAGTGTGCATTGAATAGCACAAACTTAGGTTCAGGGTTCCCACTACAATACTGTGAGCCATATAACATCTAAATATAATGTACGTGATAGAAAATCACTTAAAATAGTCGAAACATTGCAATTCAACCGATAGAATTCAATAACCGTTAAAGGAATATACAAAAATGTCATCGGACACCACCCAGTTATCAATTGATTATACACATATTATCTAAATATGCACATATTAGTTTGTTTGGTTCTATCAAAATGGTCGAATCGGTCCTAACGGTCGAATAATAAAATATTACAGAGCACGCATATAACTATAAAAGCAAACAAGCCAGAAGTCAGGATTTACATCTTTCTACCACTACTGTCAATACTAACCGGTGTGTTCAGTTTTAAATACAATCTTCATATTAATAGGTATAATCAATATACGAAAGTCGGGAGTATACATTTAGACAAGGTCAGTATATATAAACTAGACCTATAGTTAACAAAGATAAGGTGAAGATAACTAATTTACTATCTAACGCATACATACATACCATACATTAAATACTCCATTTTCAAATCTTCCATCAATTGTTCGTTACATTCTTCATGATTCTTCTACTTCACAATTTCTTTCTGTTCCCCTTTCGTGTTTTCTTCAGTTCAATTTTTTCAACTTTCTTTCGGCAAGCCTTCCACTTTTGATAGATTTTACATACTACATATATCTATCAGCATAAGTAGCATGCACCACACTCATCTCCCCTTTTAATAAGCTGTTCCTACGGTCGTTTCCAAAGTTGTAACGCTCTTTTCTTTGTCGGTGTTCGTGACCCTCCTACATGATGCCACTGAAATCATCCCTGTAGTTGACTGTCATTTCCGAGCTTCTGATGGTCTCCTTCCCGTGAAAATGTACGGTCCTCCCTACTTCAGGATCAGCCTCCCTGATCCTGGTCCCCTTCTATGGTGTATTTCCGTTCTTTACATTTAACCATGTCGCCCGCTGCAAAAAACTTCCACTTCTTTTTCTGCTGTTCCTCCTTCTTTGTGTTTGATATTTGCTTCCTTTTCATGTTCCTTATTGCCTTCTTCCTCTCTTTTCTTGATCTCGTTGCCGTTCACTTCTGTTGTTGTGGCCAGGTTTTATTATGTATTGGAAGTCGCGGCTGACTAGCATACACCAGCAGGGAGAGGTGACTTCTTGGTTGTTCCTCATATGGAGGCACGATGAGCCAGCAATATCAGTGGTAATTCTCTCTCCCAATCCCCTCCTTTAGAAGCTAACCATTCTTTTGATGTCCGTCCGTCTACGGGGGGTACAGTGTGAATCGTGTCCTCTTGATGCTAAACTGCCCTAGACAAGCTTTAAACCTCATCACTTTAGAAACAGGGAGCCTGGTAGGTTAATATCACCTTCGGTAATCCATGACCCGCCACAATGTACTGGACTATTACTTCGGTCATTGTTCATGCCCACTAGTCTGCGATGGGCATGGTGTCTACCCAACGTGAAGCGATGTCCTTTATTGTTAGAATTTCCTCTGGCAGTGGTTTTATTTTTCCGTTTCCCACTTTATGCCCTAACAAAGTGACGCTACTTTTCACTGTATGCGAATTGTTTTTATTAATTCGTAGTCCGAATCCTTCAATTCACTTCAGGACCACTTCCACATGCTTTACGTGGTCTGTACGGCTGTACACAACTACATCGTCGTCATACACCTCGACGTTATCTAGATCCCTGAGTAGCAGCGTAATTAATCTTCTGAATGTAATCAGTGCACCTGCCAACCCAAAAGACATTCGCCTACACTAATACCGCTTATCACAAACGGTAGATGTTGTCTTTTTTTCGATCGCTCTCTTTTGTAGGTAGTGGTCATTAACCTGATCGCAAATCCAGCAATGTAAACAATGTAGCATTCTGTAACCGGTCTACTGTTTCCGCTATTGTTAGCATCGCACGCAATTTCAGTTCGATTGTGTTATTCAGTTCCCTAAAGTCGACAAAGATCTGTTCTTCCCATCTGGTTCCCTTATAAAGAAAATTGGCGAGCTGTACGGTCTGTTGGCTTCTTCAGTTATACCTTCATTTAAAATCTCCTGGATTTGTCGATTTACCTCAGCCTTCAAATGCACGGGAACACGATATGTTGCGAATATAGTTACTCAATCGTCTTTTATCAAAAATCCATGCTTCATTTGGTCATAAAATCCGTACGACTCTCCGTCTTCCGTGAACAGTCTCGTATATTTTGTGAGCAACTCGTTAACTTTGTTGTTACTCACATCTCAGCCACTTCGCTACTTTTATGCATTGGGAATGAATCGTAGTTCGTGACCACCTTCCTGATTCTTAACTTTTACGATACTGTCAGACATTCCCAAAACCCTATGGTGTGGACAGATAATGTACATGGCTAAAGTCTTTTACATTGCCCTTCGCCTATTACCGATACTGCTGCCCTTGTATCAATCAGATACACTAAATTTCGTTTATTTATGCTTACTCTAGCATAGACTGCCCCTCTATCGACTAGTGCAACAACCCCTCGGTTTCATTGTGTAGAAAGAACACAAATTATATCGTCTAAAATCTCTGAGTTTTCGTCTTTTTTGACAGTTTTTCTCCCAACACCCCGTTCCTCAACAAGCGTAACATTTATCATTCCTGTTATTATTCACTTGTATTTTGGCAATCTCATGCTTCAGCCCCTCTATTTTCTTGATACTGTTTATCTTTGGACTTCCGCACCCCATCGGAGTTATTGTTTAGGTCATCAACTGTCTGGTCACTGATATTCATGAGTTGTGCAGCGCTTACTAATTTCAGCTGTTAGGAAATGGCAGCAAGCACGCTCTCGATGAATTGCGATGCCAAAAGCTGTGCAACAGACTCAAACTACCTCGGTCATGGAATCTTCACTGAATGTCTTATCATATAGAATAAAAAATAACGACGTTGACATTATTTTTACTTATCAAACAAACACATTACGACTATTTTGGTGCTTTGTTTTCTAAACTCGACGGTATATTCGACTAAGCCATACATTTCAGAAAGAAAACCGCCAAAATATTCAATCATAAGCTACCAATATTCTACATCATCTTAAAGCACTCACCGAGATTGAATTGCTTCCAAAGTTTCAGGACTTGGTTCAGGTTTATTTAATGAGTTAACACATTCCCTGATTATACGACGAATTCGTTCTAAACAATCAGCTTGATTTAATATTTGTTTCCTAGTATGATCCGATGTAATAATAAAGTAATTCTCTTTATTAATTCGATTAGCCTCCTAAAAATTGTGGAAACAAATTAACAAATATAGGCAATAAAAGAAATACCCTTTCCAAAAATAGTTGTTTGACTTGATCTGGTATCCATGACGCTGATGGAACATGAAAACGTATCTCCACTTTCGTTTTATCTAAAAAACATCATAGAGAAATAGGGATAATATAATCTGATCAGTCAGTCAATAGTTATATAGAGCCTGGCCATGTATATAAATCGGTCTAGGCCGTCAAACCATATTAACACACTAACATAAAAATATCACAATTAATCCCAAAGCATTAGAAGTAGTAACATTATTACTGGTAGTATGAAGCATTAGGCATACAGAATATGAGTCGAGAAAGTGAAATTATGCAATAAACAGTATAAGATAATGTTAAAACCCGGAATCTATGAGAAAGAGAGAGGGTGAACGTATCTACGCCATTGGGACTGATTCTAAATCATACCATTCAACATCTTGAATCAATGATAAGGATTAATTCGCGAACTTTAATCATGTAGCTTGCACTTATCAACACAGTTTGATTATACTTCCTTAAAAAGCTTGGACCACGTTGTCAGGAGAAGCGTTGGATTTACTTCAAATTCATTCGTTGAGATTTTACATTATTCCTCCCTAATGTATTACATAGATTTGGCGCCCAAATACTGCGAAACTATTCGATCAAATTTAGGTGGAAGTTCTTATTCAGTCAGTCAGCTCCAACGTAGGACCAGGCATATATACGCATCGGTCCAAGTTGCCATGCCTTATTAGCACAACAACATAAACACCAAATTCGTAGAAGTGGTTAATTCAGAAGGTAAGGACGTAGTACAGAAATAAAGAATTAGTTCGTAGAAATAAAGATATGAAGCGATTTAAATCTCTTAGTTTAAGGGAAGACAGAGTGTATACAACTACACCATTGTGATCGATTCTGAGCCATGCAACCCAGAATCTCCAACCATTTGTTACCATAGTCACACGGACCCCAATCAAGTAGTCTGTATCTACCAACATGGCTCAGACTAGAAGTTAGTGACTTCAACCACTGATGCCACGTTTTGGTTTGGCCGCCCCTAACTTTCTTCCAACCACCCCCTACACCAGTAAGCATCGCGTCGTGATAATCAGTGTTCAGGCATACACAACATGTGGCCCAACCATCTCAGTCGATGGAGATTCACAACCTCATCAATTGATTTACCATCATTCCCTAATACCCTGCATCTAACATCACTATTACTTACTCGGTTATCCCAGCAGACTCCAGCAATATTTCTAAGGTATCTGTGGTCAAATACTAGTAGCTTACGAGTGTCTTCTACTCTTAAGGGCAATGTTTCGCTGCCGTAAATTAAAACGGAACGGACTGTCGCGGAGTATACTCGTCCTTTTATTGATAGACAGATATCTCGTCTTCGCTATAGGTGACGTAAGTTGGCAAAAGCCAAACGAGCTTTTCGAATCCGTGCTGAGATTTCGTCAATCACCAACCCATTAGGGCTGATCAGACTTCCAAGATAAGTGAATTTGTCAACACGTTCGACTACTTCACTCCCTATCCCTAGTTCACGTGTTGACGCAGACCAGTCCTGAAGCAACAACTTGCATTTAGAGGGAGAGAAGCGCATCCCAAGCATTCTGGCATTGTTGCTCAGCACTACCAAAAGACTCTGCATTCTATCAGCGTCTTCACCAAACAGGACTATGTCATCTGCGTATTCTAAGTCGATAAGTGGACCTCCTGGAAGGAGATCAATACCCGAGAATTCAGTCGACGAGAATGTTATTTCCATCAGTAGGTCTATGATGAAGTTAAACAAAAATGGAGAAAGTGGACAGCCTTGACGGACACCACTTGAGGTTGCAAAAGCAGATGACAGTTCGCCATGAGCTCTCACTCGACGAGTAGCGTTCGAGTAAAGAGCCCTCACAAGTTTTATGTATTTCTGAGGTACGCCTTTCGATGACAGACACTGCCACAGAATCTTGTGGTCTACCGAGTTAAATTCTGCTTTTAAGTCAAGAAAGACCACCATTGTCGGACACCGATAAGTATGCCTGTGTCCTAGAACCTGACGAATGGTGAATATGTGGTCGATGCAGCCACGACCAGGTCTGAAGCCAGCTTGATTCTCTCTTCTTTGCAGTTCACGAGTCTTAGTTAGGCGTCTGATAATTGTCGAGATTAGTATTTTAGGTACTATATCAGTTAAACTAATCCCTCTATGGTTGTCACATGAGGATTTTAACCCTCTCTTATATATTGGGACGATAAGTGATTGTGACCAGTCAGATGGAATAACGTCTAACTCCCGGATCTTAGCTAAAATATTAGTCAACTCAATCGCTAAAATTGTACCACCATCCCTAAAGACCTCTGGAGCCAATCCATCTGGACCAGCTGCCCTTCCTCGTTTCAGATGATCTATAACGTCAGCTAGATTCGAGGGGCCTACTTCAATGTTTTATTCAGGCTGTCCAGGAATGGTGGGTAGTTGTAGAGTAGCTGAAGGACAGCTGAACAGCTCCTTATAATGTTCCGCCCATCGTTCTAAACGTCTGGACTAGAAGCAGATAAAAGTGTCGTCCTTTTCCAAAATAGTCTCACTTACACTTGACTTTTTAGTTAATTTGTTTTATTAGTCTGTAGAGTTGTTTTGCGTTACCTACAGTCGCCGCCTTTTCCATCTCTTTTGATTTCGTTGCCCAACACTGATCACAGTCGTTTCTTAGACATTTGCTTAACCTAGACCTGATTTATTTTCACTCTCCATCGGAAGTTCTTATATGTTCTTTAAAAAGTTCTGCCCATCTGTACAATTTCCTAGATTTAGAGTGATTTACTTAGTTTATTTGAACACATAAAAATTGTTACAAGGGGGCACCAATTGCACATGCGCCACAGAATAATAATAAAGATGTGAAGAGATAATGTAAAATGAGTATAATAAAAGAACAACAACAACAAACAGAAATTAGTGTATGAGAGTAAAATAATAATAATATCAATGAGAGAAACAGTTCAGTTGGTAAAAATAAAACTAGGAAGAATTCTTTCAGTTGAAGAAGTTACGTTCACTTTTATGAAGTAATAGAAAGTTATGGCAGGATCACCACTTGCTTCTATTCTGAGCCATAGATGATAACATCTCTAGCAACTGTGTTGCAACATTTCTAGGACCCTAACCAGCGAGTATTGAAAGTTCAACAGAAGAAACTCCTATACCGCTTTCTTTCATACCACGACACTATGTCATACACTAACTACCTCTCCGCTTTTTCCAACCAGTCCCAGTGGTGGCAAACAATGCAAAACGTGGAATACTCTGGGACGACATAAGTAAAACATGTACAAGCCACCGAAGTCGACATTTTAAGATAGTGAAACCAATTGAATTATCGTGTTATGTCCGAACACACGATGCCGAAAATCTTCATTACTAACGTGATATTGCCACTAGATGTCAGTAATCCTTCGAAGACAACAACGATAAAACACAGAGTCACCTAGCATTCTCAACTTGGAGAGGCCAGGCTTCACAAGCATAGAGCAAAACTGCTCCCACCGACACGTTGTAAATCCGACCTTTGACAGCCATACTAACATCACGGTAACAAAGATGACCCAGATTTGAATAAACCGCTCTGACATTGACTATACGTGAACTGACGTCACCGAGAGCACTTATGAAGCTATCCAGATACACAAAATTCTCGACTACTATCTGTTCACTATGCAGGATGAGTGCAGGATCAGGGTCCCGCCGGTCTTGTAGAAGTACTTTGCGCTTCGAAGGTGCGAATCGCATACCCTACCTACGGAAACTAACTGCCAGCTGATTAAGTGCGGATTGTATTACATGTGCATCATCACATAGTAAGGCAATATCATCCGCATGCTCAAGGTCGAGACGTCTTTCTCCAGGCAACAGATAATAATATATTTCTACTAGGACAGGCACATGCCATTCTTACAGGCATTATCTAGTCTTATCGCTCCTCAACCGACCTGTCTGGCATGGCAGAACCTTGAGGAACAATTGTTCCAGCCAGTATAGGCCGATTGGTTCATCACGATAAGCAATCCCGACCACCACGCCAAGGTAGCAGCAACGGTAAACTTGACCTTCGTCTCCAACTACAACGAACCAAAGCCGTTACTTTACTGTTGTAGCGGTAAATAAGACATATTTTACCAATTGTTATATAAGTGGGCAACGTTTACTGATAGGCTGATAAGTCGCCCTAGGTCATCAGTATATTATACTTCAACCAGTAAGAATAAGGCGTAAACTAGTCAAGAGTATCGAAAAGGAAAAGACAAATTTTGAAGTTAAGCTTGTGACAAATATTAATGCCTCTTAAAAAATGCATCTACACTGTAATAGAGTAACAGAGTAATAGAAGTAACTTGTAGCAATTCGCAACACGACAAGGGTCTACTGTAGCGGAGTCAAAACCGAGGCAGATGGTTTCCTTAGGGAACCACTACCCGAGTCTTTGACCTGAATGTCTTATCCATAAGGCAGTGCACGAACTTTAGATCCAGTCCCATGGTATTCGATGGCCCACAATTGGTTCATACGCCTTTTTTCCTTAGGATGTGCACCATTGGTTTGGAATCATGGTTTTCCAACTCCTCTAGGTAAATCCTCCATACCCATCAAACATTCACTTTTCGTCCTCTCAATTTCATAAACAACACCCCAGCCGAGAGAAGGCACTGAGTAGAGTTTCCGTGTCAGTGTCTGTTTACGCGTGTCCATGTGAGAGCATTTGGAGATGGAAAGCAGACTCTCCTCACCTTCAGCCATACCAGAACACTCAGGGGTGGTTGGCATTCCCATCTTTCTCAGTCTCACTAACAACTGGATTCTTAATACCCGTTTCCTTGATAAGTCTGGACAGTTGTCTATTGTTACGTAACACTGCTATCTTTTCCATCTCTACCGCTTTCGCTACCCACCACTGTTCATGATCATTACGTAGGCTCTTTACCAAAATATATTTAAGTTGACTTCGCTCCTCGTGTTGGGAGCCAGATAGTGTGAGTTCCCGAGCATCTACCAGTTGAGAAAACGCCGCTGAATTCCATTGATTTCTCTCAACCTTTTAGCTTAAGTTTTTTGGTATATATCACTGCTATGTCCACAGCTTTTTGATTATTAAGCCAACCTCATGCTGGATATCACTTTCATGGTTGACAGACTGCTTCTCTAGTTGTTCATGAAATACACACTCTTGACTTTCTCATCAGTAATTTGAACTGAAAGATGTTTTGTTGTTGTGGCTTTTTACATCCAGTAGGACGAAACAAATGCGTGCACATACTAGACCATGATCTGAGTCTAAACATGTGCTTCATAATGAGCGCTAGCTTCCTATCGAGCCTGTGAAACGACGACTGCTAGCAATGTGGTCTATTTAGGTTCATCATTGAGTCGATTGTGGGAGTCACCACGTGAGACGATGTTTTATCTTGCGCTGGGGTAGGGGTAATCTTAGTAATTTGGGAGTGTGACCACCGAGTCTGAGGGGAAACTATCTGAAACCAAACACGCACGGTCTTTTGGTGAGAATTTTGCGTGTTAGCTCTGCGCTTTAAAAGGTCTTACAACCAGGAACTGACGTCCGCTGGACAAGGTGAAGTGTGACATTCTTAGAGTCAACCGTTTCTAACTCCTTCTTTCTAGGGGTGTTGCCAACTTTTATTATTTAAATGATGCTGATGTCACGTAGAATAATTTATTTATTTATTTATTTCAACACATAGATAATGGTACAAAGAGGCACCAAATACATATGCGCCACACAAATCTCATCCGATATGTGTGAGGGCTGTGATACTGCCCGGGTGCCCAAACCGTAGAATAAACTAATGACACAAGATTGATATAAAAATTAATTTCACAAAATATAAACAAACATACTTCTATTCACATGTTGTCCTCCGGGACCACTCGAATACGCATAGGATATTTGAAGTTCGTCTAGTCAAAAAAATTATGTAGTGTTACTCAAGGGCACACAAATTATACCGATAGGGATATATCCATTGAAAACATTTTGGCTCTATGATACAAGACAATTACAAAATGATAAGCACTAAACATAAATCAATGAACGTACAATACTTGGTTCTGTAGGTTTCTTGAAAACAGCGTTAGGATCAGAATTTGGATAAAGATTGACTGGGTTTTGTGCACTTTCAAATGAACTCAAACATCGAACTGATGGACGTGAGATGCAAAATAATAGAAACTTTCCAGTACGAATCATTAGGCTACAAAAAAAAAACAATATCGCAACTTTTATTTTATTTGAAGCTAATAAAGAATGTCTCAAATAAATACAAATAATAATGACACTAATAAAACTCTATTATATTGAATAATTCTTAAACCAGTGCCCTACGCCATTCTTGTTTAGTTATAATCAATAAAGAATCTGATAAAAATATGCATGGGAAAGATTTTCTACACTGTAACAGCTTAGAGATTACAGCAATGTCAATAGTAGTAAGAACCCATCATAGAGCATACACTTCAAAAAAAAATATTAGGGATAGAATGACTTAATCGGTTTCTTTTATAATCCGTCAACGAAAAAAGCCTTGTGAAACTGTATGACATCGCGGCGCAAGGGCATTTCCACATGTGACAAATTACAAAAGCGTCATCGAAGAAAACAAGAACATGTACGCACTAATTTGAGATGATAACTATTCTCTACTGTTCTACAGGTACAATGTCCAGTGTTAACGAACATAACCGTAGGTGAAACTTCACGTAGATAGTTGCTTAGAAAAACAATAGCAGTTAGGTATCGTTTCAGTTTTTTGTGTTCATTAAAATCTCAGAATTCACAAGATTACTTTTCTTATCAATACTCTAACAGGCGTTACAAAACGGGATAACCAATGGGATATTTTTCATGCTCAACCTCGTTTTTAATAAACATTTTTTAAACATGAGTTTATTTCCTAACTTGCATGGGGAACTCTTTGAGTGAATGTTGAGGAAGCCTGTTTGATTTTAAATGCGCTCGTAATTAACTACACGTGACTAGTTCATAACACATGATTTGTTCCTTCTTTTGTAGATCTTTTCGAATTACAATATGACTTGGCAAATATAATTAAAAAACATAACAAACGATGCTCTAGCATTTGTCAACTACTGATAATGTTGTACGATATGAAATTCCTTTCTTCTCAATAAACTTATTCAGATATGTACCTCTTTTAACGTCGATTGCTCTTGTCATGTGGTCTTATGGAAATAAATGCGAACACAGAGGACGTTTGGGGTTAAGCCAAAGTTGTGTTAAAAATTGAAGCAAAATTAGGTAAACCGTTGCGCACTAGGTCGAACAGTAGATGATTCGGCGTGCGGACAATTAGGTGTGTGTTTAGGAGAAAAGCAGATTATTCGGCGGGTTTATATGCGAAAATTAGACAAATTATCGTGTATTTCGCCGGAAAGTAAACACGTTAACGTGTATTTGGGTGAAAAGTAAAGTCCTGCAACATTTAAAAAACAGCGACATAAAGGGGAAAATATGTATTATCTCTCCTGATAGGCCAAAAAGCACACATTAAGGCGCGTTCCATAATTTTAGAACGTATTTTCCTCTTTATTTCCCCTTTGTTAGCCCTTATCTTTCCTTTATTGGTTGCTTGGGTAGGACAAAATGCGTCCGTAGTCCGAAAAAATTTTCATTTTATATAAAATTAAAATAAAAAATTGATATATTAGTATATATATTTATACATATATTAAGTCATAAATGAATTAATCAACAAAACGAAACTTGAAAGCTTAACTAATTTGAGACACCTCATTTTAATCATAAATAATCATTTAACTTATGCAGAAATTTTTGTACAGGTAGGTAATCTGTTCAGGTAACGACCGGAAATAAACTGAACTCCGGTTTGCAATCTTGGCAGTCAGCGACCAACTTCCGAACAACCCGCCATCCAGTCTTCAGTATTCAGTTACAAGGATTGGTGTCCTATAGACTTATAATAGTCCTTGCAGTTTGTCACACTGTAGAGATTCAATCTGGTTTTGAATATATCAACAAAAAGTGCAGATATTACGTGTTCTAGAAGGGAAATTCATTAATTCACTACTCGATGAGATAAAAGAAACTCAGATACAGATTCAGATTTGTTCAGTAAAAACAGAAAGCCTATGGTCATTGATATGCTTCTGTGACTGACCAGTCTTCTCTTGAATGAGCGGACATCACTTCTACGGGTGACCGGTTCATCTATTGATGACTCTCTGTGTAAACATTTATACCACGGGTAATCTGTTCGTTCTTGGTTTTTCTACTCGCCTGCTATGTCCTCTGAGGTTTCCCGACCTAGTGGGAAGGAAAAAGAGAATAAGCTAGGTCCAAAATCATTTCTTAGTATTCTATAAATTGAAATAAGATCTCCCCGTAGTTTGCGATAAAATGGTGTAAAGAGTTCCAGCCTTTCAAGCCGCTCTTTGTATGGTTAACCCCAGAGTTCTGTTGTTGCGCGGGCAGCTGCCCTCTGTCCTTCTTCCAGGATATCCGAGTCAATAATATCTTGCAGTCAGCTGTCAAGCTTAGTTTTCACAAAGGTTGTGTATACTGTGGTTAACATGATAGTATCTAGCTTAGTGAACGTCCGTCTTAAATCTATAGCGGTAGATAAATCCCTAAAATAAATAGTACTGTAAGTTCTCGACATTGGATGCTGAACACATGTTTTCATGGACTCACCTAGCTGAAGGCGCTCAGTCATGCATCCGCACAAGAACACGAGTGGAAGCGCCGTGCTCAACATCTACTGCAATCGCTAGGCAGATTAGATCAGACGATTCTCGATATATGGATAGCCATCAAATATATCTTTAAATCTCCCTGATTCTATCTTTTGATTTCTCCTGGTAGGTACGAGTTATATTAGAAGGTGTTATTGGTTAAAGCGTTGCCAAACACCGAATACTTATGCCATCTTCATTGGTGAGCCTAAAGTGGCCTGGGACACAAAATCGTAATCTGTGAGTTTGTTCTTTTTTTGCATTCTATAGATCATTGCCTTATCGTAATTTTTTATACATTGTGATATTTTTTCGTGTTTTTGGATATACATTTTTTTCATACGTTCATTCTCGTACTTCATATTTCACTATGACTGAAGAGACACCCAAAGTACTTAAGCTTAAGACTATATCCCCAACTTCGTTCCAACTGATGCCCTTCTAGCCAGACAACATCGAAACCTGGTTTTGCTACACAGAAGCCGACTTCTTCGAGCACGGCGTGTTCGACACACGTGCACAATTCCTCGCAGTAGTCAAGACACTACCGCGCGAATTCAATAGGTACGTAACACCTAGTATGTTTACTTGTAATGTTTCTGAACCCTACGAAACGCTGAAACGTTCTATTCTTTAATGTGGGGACCTAAACGATAGACAAAGTTTAGACCAACTCAATAACATCGACCTGCAACACGGTTCTGCGACGGACACGTTTCAACGAGTGGGAGGGGTTATCGGCTAAAGAACCTTCGATGATGGCCTATTTAAGCAACTTTTCTTATCCAAACTTCCTCAACAGGTGCAAGCTGTCCTTGTCTCATTTCAAAACAACGCCTTAGACGAGCTAGCTGCATCTGTCAACCGCATTTTAGAAGTCACGAAATCTAACGCTGATGTTTTTTTCAGTCAAAGAAAAGCCTCAAACAACCCAGAATGACATAACAGTTATGTCGTACACTTAAATTTCGTATCGACCGTAAGCGATCACACACCCCACGTAGAAGCACGTCACGTAAGCGATCTGTCTCTAAACCATGAGAGACGGATAATCCCGACTGGTGCTGGTATCATAAACAGTATGGAGAGTTTTTCAGAAATTGCAGAAAACCCTGCGATTTTCCCAACTAAAAACCACCGACACGAAAAACAACTCGAGAAATTTCCAAGCCGGCACGCGTTCACGGAAACCGTAGCCAGCGAACATAGACGTCTGTTGTACGTCACAGATGTGACAAAAATGGTTCGCTACCTCATCGATACTGGCGCAGAAGTTAGCGTTCTCCCTGCAAATTCTAACAACCGGCTTCACGAATCGGTTTTAGACTTACTGGCGGCAAACACAAAGCCTATTGCTAAGTATGGCAAGAGGTACGTTTAAGTTAACGTGGGTTTACGCAGACCCATTCACTGGATCTTTGTTGTTGCAGATGTTTCTATTTCCATCATTAATATGGACCTTCCACAACACCATAATGTGATCATCGATACGCGCAAACGGAGGCTGGTAGACGAAACACTAATTTATCCGTTTGCGTAACATCTTTTTCTGGTTGCAGATTATCTCCTGCCTACAGGGTTCTGGACATTTTAGCTGCAACCTCCAGGCAGTCTGCTGTGGTCCCAAGATCATGACTCACTCTCACTCCAAGATCATTGTTAGACCGGACTATGGGTGCAGGCACTTCTCCTATGTTGTACCTATTAACCCTTGTATCTTCAAGGTTCATGCAGACACACTTTTCAGCGTTGATAGGCATCAGCCACTTTTTAGATCAGTGAATCATATTATTTAAGTCTGCCTGAAAAGCACATACGTCTGTTTCACCAGTCATTACTTGCCCGATTTTTACATCGTCAGCGTATAATAACATTGGGGACTGTACTATACTAGGAAGTTCATTTACACATTATAAAAAGTAAAGGGCTTAGGACAAACCTTGAGGTACTCCATTAATTACTGTTCTCTGGATGGAGCACTTCTAATTTATTATTACTATTGTCTATGACCTAGTAAATCCTTAGGCCATTTTAAACGAGCTCCAGCAATACCAATATTTCCAACGTCAACAGTAGTCTATTAGCTGCCACCTTGTCGAAAGCCCTACTGAAGTTTATGTAGACAACATACACTGAGTTTCCGTTGTCTAGCGCCTTTATCAGAAATTTCTTTGCTATAAGGAGGATCGTTGTACAAGATTGACCATTTCAAAAACCATGTTGTTCTACGTTCAGCAAGTTTAACAAATTATTGGTTTCAACAAATATAATTATGGTCTTATTCACTAGTTCCAGTAACTTACCTACGACAACAGAGAGGCTGACAAGTCCGTAGTTTTAGGAAAGTTTTCTTGTTCCTGTTTTATGTATTGGAGTGACGATTGCATGCTTCCAGTCCTTAGGTAACTTGTGGTGGCAATGAGCCCTAATACGAGACAATGTGGGAAATAGACATTCAACATTTAACACGAAGAAAAATTCAACGATGAAGAGGGCGGGAAGAAAGAGTCTAAATAATTGGGGTTGAGCGGATGGCATGCGGGCATGGCGCCTTCTGAATGTTACCTAATATCTTTTATTCATATTAAATATATTTTCCTATCTCTAACCTAAGCTTGTTCTCCATCATGTATTGGTAATTGGTACGATGTAGTGAGTTGGTGTAGACGATGATGTGACTTCCACGTAAGATCTTATTGATTAGACAGTTATATCATGACAAATCTACAATTATGGGATTAGGTCTATTATTGGAGCAGTACTAATATCATAGTAGACCATAATTCCACAAGATCACACTTTTTACAACCACAATAGGGTTACATGTTGTCTCACTTTGGGACTTTAGCGGAGTATTATGTGATCCAGAGAATGTACCTACAAAAGAATTTCTAACCGTATGGGCGCTATTTGTTGTTATTTTTCTTTCTCATTATTTCCGTATTGTCGTCCATTTCTCCTCAGTCATAACAGCCACATCGAAACTATTTGTGTTGATGACGGTTTTATTTAGGTCTTAAGGTCATACTGTGGGATTGTGACCGCCAATATCCAGTAATACCTCACTCTTTATTTGTCTCAAAGCAGATTTTCCTTTTGTTAGTTTCGTAGTCAGGTGTTCGACACATCTCGTAACAGCACGTAATACACTGAGACATTCTTCATTGTTAGTTCACTACCAGTTCATTTTTCATCAAATTTCACTCTGGTCAACGTCAGAAGGCCTAAAGATGCCACAGGTATCAAAAATTTAAAAACTCCTTTGCATTTAACACTTATAATTGAAGTATGTCAACCCAGTCATATCAGAAGTCAGAAGTGAAGGGGTTTGAAGATATATTTGGAAAACCATCGATGTCCTGAGAAGCGTTTGGTGTAAGCTGGCTAGCAGTTGTCAGGGTTGTGTAGCACGGTGTACCCACTCGTGATTTGGTGAGGATGCGTAGCCTAGCGCCTTTAGCCAGATGTGTCCGCTAGAAATAATGTAGTTATCACCAAATGTCGAGGACTTACAGATTATTTATTTTGGGGATGTATTTACCGCTACAAGCTAGTTCCTATTGGGGCAGTAATGTCTTAGTAGAACAGCAAAAACAAAAGGCAATTAGAGTTAGATTCCGAAAATGTTTTTATGCGGTGGGATTTAAAATAGTACACATCTTGTAGAACCGTGTTTTGAACTTATCACATTGACTTCCTTCCTCCATAGGGAAGAAGCAATTTGGCTGTCCACATTGATACATTTTATACAGGATATAATGGAAAAGCATCAACAAAATACACAAGGTAATCACTGGTATGATAATCAGCAAAACAGGATATCATAAAACAAATTTGAAGAAAATTTCAAACTTCAACGGAAGTAGTACAAGCTAAACTCGACCGGGGATGCTCGTAATTCAATAAGTACACGATATCAAAGTTAATTCACAAGGAGAATGAAATCAATGCACTTAAGAACATTTAAACATTTCCGAGCTATTATTATTTATTGTTAACTCAAGAATTTCCAAATTCCATCGCGCATTAAACAAGATGAATTTTTGAGAGTGTTTTTCTCTTCCGAAGTTCCCTGAAGTTTAACGCGCCAATTTCAGGGAGGTTGTCTATTGCATAGACAAGCATGGGAGCTTATATGTCTAAACCGAAAACAGAGAAAATCTCTGACGATGGGGCGAATCAATGGATAT